GGCTTTTTCAAAAAGCAGGGCAGGAGCCGAGACATTGGGGTGGGGGGGTCTGGGTGGGGGTCTGCCTTCCTGACACCTGAAAAACCCAGCTACCCAAAAGGAATAAAAGGCACCGAAACTGGAGAGAAGATGTTCACACCAGCAGAACAGAGCCAAGGCATCTCCTGCTGCTTTACAGGTAATGCTTGCCTTGAAATATTTTGGGATTTTAAGTTCTCCAACCAAAGGGGGGGCACCTATGGGGGGACAAGCAAACCAATCTCAGCTTGAGGTGTTGTTTTTTTTTAGGAGGGGATGGTTGGTGGAAGAAAGAAGAGATTATTCATATTATTTTCCTTCTTGGGCAAAATTCCTCTACATGTTGATGCTGGACTAGATGGGTTTGGGGAGGGGGGTGTCAGGGTTTCTTTTTAATGTATTCTTTTGGAGAGTATTTCTCTTCCAAAGGGAAAGGATGGGTCCTTAGCAGCTGTGGCTGGCAGAAGGCAGATCTTAGCACTTAGACAGACAACTCCTCCAAGGGAATGAATGGTAACAGAGAGAGATGTACATATAGGACAATTCATCAGGAAAAGCATCACTCTGTGCTTGTGGAGGGAGGCAAGGGCATGGCTTCAGCTGGATGTTGTTCAGTTTGGATGCGGTTCCCAAAGGGTCCCCATGGTCCTGGGGTCATAGCATCACAGAGTTGGAATGCATCCCAAAGGTCATCTACTCCAGCCCCTTGGCAGCACTGCTAGAACACCCCTGAAAGGTGAGCATCTCATCCCATCTCTGTTTGGAAAGCTCCAGTGAAGGGGAGAGTACCCCCTTTGAAAGTACGCGGTGGTCCCCGAGTGTGATGCTGTATGGGATGGCTAGAGACCACATTGCATTGGTCATGGGGCTGGGATGGATGACCTTTGGAGTCCCCTCCAATTCTGCAATTCTGTAATCTTATCAAGCGTTCCAAATCTGTGCAGAGAAGCTGGAAGCTTCAATCTCTCCCTCTATGCCCATGTCACTCATAGGGACACCATTTAAAAAACAGTCTTTTTCTGGAAGTTACATTAGGTATGGGTATTCTGGAAGTTACATTAGGTATGGGTATCCATTCTAGACTTATTGGGCTACAAAACTGAAACACCCTCCCCCCTTTCTTTTGATACTTGGTCCCTGTGCAAAGTTACCAACCCAATTAATTTTTAAAACATGTTGTTGCAGCTGTTGTGTTCTTATTGTTATCCTGGTTGTTGTTGTTGTTGTTGTTGTTGTTGTTGTTGTTGTTTGCCTTCAAGTCTTTTCCAATTTATGGTGAACCTATCGTAGGATTTTTTTGGCAAGATTTGATCGGAGGGGCTTTGCCATGGCCATCCTCTGAGGCTGAGAGAGTGTGACTTGCTCAAGGTCACCACCCAGTGGGTTTCCATGGCTGAGCAGGGATTTGAACCCTGGCTTCCAGAGTCTTAGTCCAATGGCTCAAACCATTGCACCACGCCATTGAATCAACTGGGTTTATTTATGTATTAACTCACCATTCAAGCAATTGATTCAGTGGATTTACTTGGAACCAACACGAAATCAGCCCTTTGATTTCACCATACTAACCATACTAAGGATTATTTGAGAGCCAGTGTGGCATAGTGGTTTGAGTGTTGGACTATGACTCTGGAGACCAAGGTTCGATTCCCTGCTTGGTCATGTAAATCCACTAGGTGGCCTTGGGCATGTCACACACTCTCAGCCTCAGGGGAAGGAAATGGCCGACCTCCTCTGGACAAATCGTGCCAAGAAAACCCCATGATAGGTTTGCTTCAGGGTCGCCATAAGTCGGAAACGGCTTGAAGGCACACAGCACAATGATTATTTGAATTATCTTAGATTTGCAGGGCAAGTCCAATCAAAGGTGGTGTGTGTGTGTGTGTGTGTGTGTGTGATATGTGTTAATTCAAGCAGGAAAATTGTATGCATTAATTTCCAACATTTATGCAAGGAATTTAGAGTGCAGGCAGATTCAGTCATATGAATGGAGGGAAAGGGAAAAAATGATGCAAGAAGAACAAGAGTAAAATCAGCAAATTCGTTTACTAAAATCTGGAAAAAGGATTAAACAGTTTAGGAAAATAATAATAATAATAATAATAAATTTTATTTCTACCCCGCCCAATGGTAAACCAATCAGGGCGGCTTACAATATAAAATGACCCATCCGCATACAATGCAGCATACCCCCCTCCCCCCCTTAAAACAGTATTAAATCAAACAGACTTAAAACAGTATTAAATCAAAAATGAACAAAAAAAAAAATTCAATTAAAAATTAAGTTCTCCTTGGGGAACCTATGGAAAGCACCCAACACTTTTGCCCCCCTAATTTCAATGGAAAGATGCTTTTTCCTTTTATGTGTGTGTGTGTTGTGTGCCTTCAAGTCTTTTCCGATTTAAGGCAACCCTATGGGAAACCTATAATCGGGTTTTTTGGCAAAATTCAAACATATAGCTATGTTAGTCTGTAGAATCAGTATGTAGAGAGATCTTGAAGCACCTTTGAGACTAATGGAAAGAAAGAAATTGGCAGCCAGTTTCTTTTTTTCTTGCCTTCCCCTGAGGCTGAGAGTATGTTACCTGCCCAAGGTTATCCAGTCATTTCATGGCTGAGCTGGGAATTGAATCCTGGTCTCCAGAGCCTTCCCCTGAGGCTGAGAGTATGTTACCTGCCAAGGTTATCCAGTGATTTCATGGCTGAGCTGGGAATTGAATCCTGGTCTCCAGAGTCATAGTCCAGCACTCAAACCACTGTGCCATGCTGGCCCTATCCTCCAACATTTCACAGGTCAAACCCAAGACAAGTCCATCAACACCAGAATGTGGTCAAGATGGCAAAGTGGTTAATGAGGAAGAATGTGCAAGATGGGAGATGCTGCAGCCATTTGCTTTTGCCTGGGCCTCCTGGGAAGGGCAAGATTCTGCCCCTTCTCTCCTCTCCTCTCCTCCTGCTAAGTTAATTAACGACTTTTGCACTTTGAAACTCAGTTTGCAGCAACTGGACAAAGAGGGAAAGCGGGAGGAGGAGAGAGAAACTGGGACATTTTAAAAACAGCTGAAAAAGTGGGACAGCAGAGGATTAACCCGGAATGTCCCTTCAAAACTTGGACAGTTGGAAGGTATATTCTGAAAGTTCTCTTCAATCTCCAAAGTTCTAGCATTGCAGAAAGTGAGGCATTGAAAACCATTCACACCCAGAACTCTTCTATTTGCTGTGTTTGCATCCTTTGTTCAATTTCCTTTCCCAATTTTTCTGGATTTCTAGCCAGCGTGTTGTAGTGGTTTGAGCATTGGATGATGACTATGGAGACCAGGGTTCAAATCCTGGCTCAGCCATATAAACCCACTGGGGTGGCCTTGGGAAAGTCACACTCTCTCAGCCTCAGAGGATGGCAATGGCAAACCCCCGCTGAAGAAACATGCCAAGAAAACCCCATGATAGGTTCAGAAGGAACCTGAAGGCACAACAACAACAACAACTGCTCATATTTTTCATATTTCTAAATACTGAACTGTGGTTTTCAGCCACAACTATCCCAGAAATTTGGAGACTGAAGAGAAATTTCAGTTGTGTTGATGTGCCTCCAAGTCGCAAGTCGGCTCATGGCGACCCTATGAATTTTGCAGGGTTTTCTTAGGTGAGGAATCCTCAGAGATGGTTTTGCCAGTTCCTTCTTTTGAAATGCAGCCTTCTGCTCCTGGGAGTTGTTGTCCCATCCAAATACTCACCAGGGCTGACCCTGCTTAGCTTCCAAGATCAGACGGGATCTGGTTCCTTTTGGGCTGTGTCCTCATCCCCCTGCCACAGAGCTACACCTATGTTAATAGCTATATTATTATTATTATTATTATTATTATGGCACCTGTATTAATTAATAAAGGTAAAGCTTTTCTCTTGAGATGAATGTCTAGTCGTAACTTGTAGGGACAGCGCTCATCTCTGTTACTAAGCCAAAGAGCCAACGTTGCCCAAAGATGACTCCATGATGGTATGGCCAGAATATTAATTAATTAATACACATGTATTAATAGCAGCAACCATCATCATCGTCATCGACAAGGCTCACCCTTTGACTCTCTCCAATTTAAGCCAAATCCCCACCACTTCCTAAGAACAGTAGCCAAGAAGGCTATCACAAATAAATAAAATCGGGGCTTAGAGCCCCTCTGCCTTCTCCCTCATTCAAGCCCTATGTACTTCATTCTAAAAAATTGAGGTTCGGGGGAAATGGGACCGAAGTGATCTAGACCAGTGCTCCTCAGAGTATTCGTTCTAGTTTGGGTCCCTCCAGGAAGAAAGGCGGTATGAAATAAATGAAATAATGAAATAAGTAATAAATAATTCTATCAGCAATCCTCCCCAATGTGCCAGGGATTAAATCATGGACGCATAGAATCATATAGTTGGATGGTTCTGCAAATAAATAAATAAGCCCATTAATCCAACTCTATTTTGCAATGCAGGAGCACACAACTAAAGCACTCCTGGAAGTTGGCCATCCAAGCTCTGTTTAAAGGGATCTGAAGAAGGAGAGTCCACCACCCTCCAAGGCAGTATGTTCCACCGTCAAACAGCGATTCCGGTCAAAAGGTTCTTAGAATCACAGAACCATAGAGCTGGAAGGGACCACAAAGGACATCCAGTCCAACCCCATTCTGCCATGCAGGAATACACAATCAAAGCACTTCTGACAGATGGCCATCCAGCCTAAAGACCTCCAAAGAAGGAGACTCCATCCTCCTCCGAGGGAGCGTGATCCACTGCTGAACAGCTCTTACTGTCAAGAAGGTCCTCCTAATGTTGAGGTGGAATCTGTAGTTTGCATCCATTGCTCCAGGTCCTATTCTCTGGAGCAGCAGAAAACAAGCTTGCTCTTCCAAAGGTTCAGGTGGAATCAGTGGGAACCTCCGGTTGGATTGTCTTGGTGGCGGCCCTCCAATTATTCTTTTAAACTGAACTGGTTTTTTTATAGTGAGTTTTTAAAAAATTGCATTCTATTCTTTTAGCTAGGGGTTTGAATTGTTTTAATACTGTGAACAATTTAATTCTATTTTTGTGTGTTTTATCAATGTATTGTTCTTTTACATTGTAACCTGCTTTCAGTCTCAGTTTTGGGAGAAAGGTGTACTACTACTAATACCGTACTTATTAGTACTTAGTATTAGTACTAATACTTATTTGTAGTAGTAGTAGTACTGGCAGTAGCAGTAGTTGCAGCTTTTTACATTTGAAAAATCAAATTATTATTATTATTAGCCTCACATTTTTTAAAAAATGCATCTAGTGTTCACACCTTCTCACCCACCTCCCTGCCCTTCAAGGGATAATAAGAATAATAAGAATACTGATAAGAATAATAATTCATAAAGAACAGGGAGGTAGAGGAGAAAGTGTGAATACTAAATGCATTTTTTTAATAAAATGTGGCTTTGTTAGGCTGAAGTCTTGTTAGACATGTCCAGCAGCGACTGGCTCCCAAATGGGTTTTACAGTCAGCCCTCCACATTTGCGGCTTTGACTTTTGCAGATTTTATTATTCACGGGTTTGAATAATGTTTTTTCCAAGAATCTCTTGATCCTCCAACACAACTACTGGAAGTCGACCACAGAGTCATGCTGGAGGATCTAGAAATTACCAGAAAAAACATTTCTCTAGATATTTGTACGGTCAACCTCCGCCTGACGTTGACCATCAAGTTGCGCTGGAAGACCTAGAGATTCCTAGAGGGGTGTTCTCTCACATTAAAAAGAGGGATTTTTGTTTGTTTCTGGTTTTTCCACATTGATGGGGGTCCTGTGCCTCTAACCTCAGTGAATGCGGAGGACCCACTGCAGTACAATCTATCCAACTTATTGAACCCTATCTCTCAAATACTTTCAGCAATTTAGGACTCTATCACACGGGGAAAATCCCATACAGAAATGGGATTTAAATAGGAAAAAACCTGCAAAAGTGGGCAGATTTTCACACTATGTCGATGTTGAACTGTGCTTAACCCAAACGAAAAGTAGTCAAAAGCCGCTTCTTTTTACTTTTGGAAAATCCCGAAAGTAAAAAAGAAGCGGCTTTTGACTACTTTCCATTCGGGTTAAGCACAGTTTAATATTGATGTGTGTGAAAATCTACCGGTACCTGCTTTTGCAAGTTTTCCCCACCTTTCAAATCCTGTTTCTGTATGGGATTAAACCCTTGTGATAAAGTCCTTATTACTCCTTTCAAGCTGACTAAAATCTGGAGTGAATTCAGCACCAACCCCTTTATTTTTTTTTAATTTTTAATTTTTTGACTATATTTTTATTAATTTTATATATATACATTATATACATTTCTTAATCTTGAGTACATACTCAGTCTAGCACCAACCCCTTTAGACAGGAGCTACCAAAAGGAGTAAGGTCCCTTGTACTTCTAATTCCCCAACCCTCCAGATTTGCTAGATGACAGTTCCCATCA